TTTTGTGTAAATCTTATTGGGACCTTTTTTTATCGTTAATCCTCTATTTCATTTAAAAGGTTTAAATCTTTCGTGTCGTTGTTTGACGATAAATTTCGAGCAACTTTTCAACAAGAAAACAGACTGGAAATTTTATTTTTAGGCAACAAATAGCATTAACGTAAGCGACTCTTATTTTAGCATACAATATCTCACACCGTAATGAGATGTAATGGGGTTGGAGAAATATCCATATATAATATATCACAAGCGCTTATTTTAAACCTATCCAATTATAAAAAAAAGAAATCCTTGAGATTTCTCCTTATCATGAATGATAAGTCACTGAAACACTGAGGTTTATAAAGAATGGAAATATGTGCATACGCTTTCTTTCTTCCTTTTTTTCTTTCTTCCTTTTTTTCTTTCTTCTTTCATGATACCCAGATTTATATGAACAGTGGAATACAAGCTCGATAAAATACTCGGATATTTTGAGATTCAACATATTTTAAATCGAGTTCAAGTTGAAACAAAGTAGTTAAAAATATATTTTATAACCTTCATTTCTATCATTAATTAGAAGAAAAATATATTTTATTTCTTTATTTCTTGGTGGGTGTAGGTGTTAACGCAGGATATATACACGTAGATGTATCCTTCAAGTAAATCCGGTTCGGCCTGACTGGAAACTTGAAGATAGATTGCATAAATAAATTACTTTTTTTTTGTTAGGATTGCAAATGGGGTTTTCGAATTTTATCTCACATTAAATGTTTATACTGACTGGCACCTTGATGATATAAAATAATTTTTAAGCACAGTACAAGGCAGCTACTTTTACAGATTTTTTCCTCAGTTCTAGGGATGAAACGCTGTCATTTCCAAAGCTTTAATACCCCAAAGAGGCTTAATACCTACTATCAGGAAGGTTTCGCATATTTAACAGATTAATATTAGGCCCGTCAGTTCAATAAAAATCGACGAATGCCAACTAGGTAAAATTCAAGTTATATTTTCTAAACTCAATTTATTTCCCATAAACTGGTTTTATGATAAGAAAGACAAGATAGGATCATTCATTTTATCAATAAGCAAAATATTATTAACAGCAATATTTAAAAAATTGACAACTAAAGATACAAACATAATGATTGATTAAGATTGCTATAGATAAATCATATATTATAATTGATTATCATTTACTTTAATAAATTTTAACCTAATTTCAGTTTATTTATGTATGAAAATGTATATTAAATGTCGTTTTCCTTCTGTACTGATATAGAGATACGTTTGATGTGTATATTGATTAGATTACAGTCAAGAAAGAATCGTTCACTGATAAAAAAGAAAAAAAACAAAAAAAACCGGAGTCCATAAAATTGTGTAGACAGTGAATGCCAAAGTTTTGAGGAGTAGTAGCAGTGAGCATAACCGACATGCCATTATGAAACACTTCTTAAAATGTACATATTCGGGATGTGAAGAGGTTTTGCGTTGGACAAGAGGGAAAAAAAAAAAAGATCAACTTAGCTGCTGGGCGAAATCACTAAAGAAAAAAGGAAGCTTGTAAGAGGCAGTTTAATTAAAGGGCAAATAAATGGTAAACAATTAAAAGATTAAATGGAGGACTTTTCTTTTTTCTTCGTGTATGCAACAAGTGTTTCTTTTTTTTTTCAACATAATCTCCTTCTTGGTAAATGCATTTAAATTAGTGGAGAATATTAAAGTGAACATATATATTTAATTTAAAAATGATGTGTTTACACTCATATAAGTTTTTAAGAGACTAGATATTCTTTCTTTCTTTCTTTCTTTCTTTCTTTCTTTCTTTCTATTTATCGCAGTCTTCTTCATATCTATCTATCTATCTATCTATCTATCTATCTATCTATCTATCTATCTATCATCACCCTATGCAAATATTTATACACATATAGGCATATACTTCAATATATACGTATGTATATCTACACACGCACGCACATATATGTATATTTTTTATAAATTTAATGTAATCCACTCTCTCTCTTTCTCTCTTTCTCTCTCTCTCTTTCTCTCTCTCTCTCTCTATATATATATATATATATATATGTGTGTATGTGTGTGTGCGTGTGTGTTAAAATACAGTTTTACGGTGTGTTATATTTATGACTAAAAGAACTTCATCAGACAAATAATTTTTAGGGACAAAACATATTCAATGTAACGCGTTTTGTTCATTGTTCATGTTTACCTACTATTAATCTGATATATAGATCTGTATACCTTCCATTTTACAGTATATAATAACCCTTTTCTTATTACGTACGCATTCTCACTTTGAAGGAATAGAGAAAAAAAGATTAATAAAGATTTCGAATTATTCATATTTTAGTGAAGTTTGATATTATTCAATCTTCAATTCTACTGGTTGGTCAAAATAAACAGCAACTTATATTAGATATAATTTCTCATCATATAACGTCGGTGTTAATTATCTTAATTCTTCTCTCATTTTAGAATACCATTCTTAATATATATTCATATCTTATACTCTATACTTACTTAAATAGACAATGAATATATTTATGCATTTCATTTTTATGTAAAAGGTTTGCTTAAAGCTTAGCTACATACCGACAGACTTCAGTTAATACGCTTTCTTTAATTACCAAAATGACTACCTAAATAACCAATGTCTTTCGCAGGTGAGCCATATCCACTATTATTTCAATATATGCGCAGATACACAAGCGTAGACATTATAGTCATGGAGGTAGTTGGTAAGTTTTAGTGGATTTTGGAGACGATTATTATTATTAAATAGAGAATAAAGTGCAAAGAGAAAAATAATGAAAGCATTAAAACAAAAATAAAATATAAGTGTACAAAAATGCATTTCCAATTAAGACACTTTTTGTAGGTCAAAATCTTTTATAGACGTCATTTTTAATCAACAAACACTTCATTTGATTTTAAATACATATTTATAACGTGAATACAAAGAATGTATTAAAAAAAACAAAATAAAAAAATTCAGAATTCTCTCTTTATATACAAAAAAGTAGAAAAAATGTAAAAAGCAAATCAGTATATACAAAATCCTTATTCAATAATGACCATATTAGATTTACTTCTGAAATGCTAATATACACATTATTTGGGAATTAAACAAAAATCCCTTTTTTGTTTTTAATTTTTATTTAGTGCAAACATTGGCAGTGTCAAATTGGTTTATTTAAGCAGGATTTCTTTTTGTAATTTAAATTTTATCTTAACGTAAATTTAAGAAATGATTGATTCTCCCCATTGTTTTACACTAACATAAGCACAACGATGATAGAACACTTACATTGCAATATAGCACAAAGTACTTAATGTATGCTCAACAGGTTTTTGTGGTAGATACAATATTTACTTTATAATATAGAAAGTGCATTGTTAGTCCTTAAGACTATGATGGAGAATCAAACGATAGCAAACACATTATTTTGCATGGTATTATGGATGTGATGGATAATAATTACACTGTTATGTTGGTCATTACGTCTTTTCCGGGCAGACGCAACGATCGATAAAGTGTAAAACATAATATTTATCGTTGATCCATACATCGAACACAAATGTGCTATAGAACTTCAATCCTGAGTTTAGCTGAGAAATGCAAAATTAAACGGATAAAGTGACATAGCACCAGTGGTTTAAATGGAACATTAATTTAATGCTGTTACATAGAATAAAATAGTTGAATTTCTATATCTTTCTTAGACATTATGGGAATTTTTGTATGTAAACATACATTGTAGATTGATATAGAAATTTATAGTAATGTACAGGTCGTTCTGTTTTGAGCAAGTATGAAGTGTAAGATAAAAAAAATGTCACCAACTTGTTTACTTAAATTTTCGAGGCAATCGGAGTACTATAGCAAGAACAAGAAGTTCTCAGCGAATATTTACATTTACATCTGGTAAAGACAGACAGACATACGAATACAAAGAGAAATGAATATTGCGTTTTTGATTTCCTTGTAATGTTAAGGCAATGGTGTGTTCTCTCTTTCTTTGTTTGAAGCATCAAACACAAGACATAAGAAAATCCTCAAATAAGGCATATACTTGGGCCTTTAAAGCATAAATTATTTATGTTTAAAATGAATAAATTAAAAAAGATAATTGTTCAAATTTGTTAATTTTTTTAAAATTTGGCGAAGTAGCAACATCGTCTCAAGATTTGATTATACATTTGGCAATAAAGAAAGTATTACAGTTCCTTCACACATACACACACGCACACATACACACAGACACACACAGATATACATATATATATATATATATATATATATATATATATATATATATATATATATAATATTCCATTACCAACGATATGTTTTAAGCTGAAAGTTGGCCTTTGGGGCCCAAACAGCAGCATAAAATTACCTGCTCGTTTATCGTCATTTTATTCAAGGGCAGATAACTTTATATATTTGATACTCCTCTCGATTGGGTCTCTTTTCATTTATTTCAAATATGCATAAAGACAGGACCTTCAACATTTGAGTGTATTTCTTGCAGATTTATCTGAAGTTGTTCAAATTAAATTTAATATATAAATTTTATTTGATGCCTTATCAAGAACGATGCAAAGAATGATAAAATATGTCATAAAATATTCCCTGATAATAAATAAAAACGTTTATCGTCAGCTTAAAATGAACGTTCAAACTTCTTTCTTAAGTATAATTTGACCGACCGGCGGTCTGAAGAAAAATTTAAAAATGGGAGGAGAAGAGAAAAAAAGAGACAGTCAGGAGAGATGATGAAAATATAATAATAACCATATTTTATAAAAGTTCAAAAAGATAAAAATGACTGAATTAATGAAATGTCTGATGTTTGTGGTCATATGAATATTTTTACATCATTTTAACTTTTGATTTTTTTTTTTAATTAAAAAAGTAACAAAGCCCAATTTTTCCTTGAGAAAATTCTCTCATTTTTTTTTTTTATTAAATTAAAAATCTTTTTTCTTCAAGGATATCCACTTCGCCGCCTCCGTCGGAAAAGTTTGCAGATTTCTTCCCGTACGCGATCATTGACAATTCCATAGACAATAGGGTTACTAGCATTTCCGAGAAAAAACAGATATCTCAAAATAAGACTGTCAGTAATTCCAAAAATATCAAGCCAAAATGGCACCCAAGAAACAATGTAAATAATGGTGCACAAAAACAACATCTTGGCTGTCCGGTTGTGATGCATACTTCGGCGTTTGTCTGTGAATTTCCCTTGAGTTTTGCACGATTCCTGGTTTTGAAGGTTCTTTTTTCTCGTCGTTGACATATCGTTGCTGCCATTTGAACCAGGAACACCTGAGTCGATATCTGAATCGACTGGAGTATTGATCTTACGAGCATTATTTAGCGTACATCCAGTAACATCGGATATATCGTCAAAATATTTCTTTTTTTCACTGCTCATGCTTTGGTTGGATCGATCAGATCCAGAACCGCCATTGCTGCTTGTCGAACTTGATGGTAGACCGAGTGGATTGGACAGTTTCTTTCGTAGTTGTGCCTTTTTCCACAGAGTGCTGTAGATAAGTGTGTAAAGGACGATAATTGCGATACAAGCAGTGCAGTAGGAAAGGCTGAGTAGGGCTTGATATGAACGTGTCCCTATTTCCCCCAAGAATGACATAGTAAAATGGCAAAACGGTTGATTTAGCGCCTGGATTTCCTCAATGGTGCAGTTGCCATCAGTGACCACGTAACCTCCGGGCACAACAGCAAATATAAAAACAGACGGAATGGCGAGAACAATGCTAATAAGAACGATGACAATCATCCCCTTATTTACTTGGGTTAATGTGAGGCGTCGGGTTGGTCGGCGGACAGCAATACATCGTTCGAAAGCGATAGCCACGAGAGATGCATTAGAAGCCATGATGCAGAAATGGCGAATGACTTCGAAACTACGACAGATGGCATCAGATGTAACTCCATGCAGTTCGTAAATAATCGTATATGGCATTACAAACATGCAGACACACAAGTCGAGTAGGGCGAGCACCCGGATGAACGTGCTGCTCGTCTTGTGATCCTGCTTTTTCAGGTACACGATCAAAATGAGAACATTACCAATACTACCGACAACTGCATATAATGAGATCAATACCGAAAGAATGTAGTGTTGAGCGTCCCAATCAAAATAAACTAAAGATACGTTACAGTCTTTCTCGGGGTTCATTGTGCCTCTTTCTTAATCACTGAATGAAATGATTTGCTTTTCGAGTCAATATTCTTTGATATCAAGAAATAAATTTGGTATAAATTTACAGCGAGATCGAAAATATATCAATGTTTGAAAAATTATTTTACAGAAACATGCATGGATATATATGTATGTTTATGTCTTTGTGCACATATATAATATATATATGTGTGTGTGTGTATGTGTGTGTGCACGTAATTGTGTTTTTCTAATTGTGTGTGTTTATAAACGTGGGGGCGTTTTAGAAAATTTGTTACAGAATTATCCTCCAACTGTCATGATTATCCTGAAGCAAAGAATATAATTTTCAAAATCATCAGTAAAAGATCTGCTATAAATTCTCGTCTGGTAACTAATTTGTCGGTTTCTGTTTAATATTTCCAGGTAATTTAATCTTCGTTAGAAATGAAATTCACGAACCGCATTTTGATTTTGTAGGTTATCATCCTCGTCCGATCAGTTGGTATGGAGATGCAAATAACCACATCAGTTAATTTGCACAAGAAATAATCTATCTTTTAGTTGTCACACTTTTGTAATTCTTAATGTCGACTAATGTCCAATGAATCTTTCTAATAATTCAGTTTAGTCCAAGATAATATCAGTCATATTGCATAGATGTATTCATTTTTCAAGCTGTAATAATTCTTCGTTTACGATGCTTTCAGTATATTTGTGAAAATGAAATTGTAAATTTGTCAGGCAAACTGAACGCGTTAATTGCTGTACTGCTTCCAAAGCTGGACATCAACTAAATGACTAACAACTCGAGTCAAGCCTCAAATGGTAAACTAGATATCACTCTCTTTCCCTCAACTCCCATTTATTAATTTTACGTTTCTTTAGTTAATTTTCTCTTTCTTATTCTATATCAATCTTTCCTTTTTTTCTTTTCTTTAGTTCTTCAACTTTATTAAGAGCTTTTGCCAATTTCCTCAATTGTTACTTCCGCTTTACTCCTCCATTTTCTCTCTCTCTCTCTCTCTCTCTCCTTAACTCACGTGTTCTCCCTTTCTTTATCTCCTTATACGTGTTATCTCTCCCTCTCTTTTACTTCTTTCTCCTTTATAGTCTTGATTGTTTTTTTCCTTTATATCCCTACTTGGATTGCCTCTTGAATAGTTGCGTCCACTTGTTTTCGCTGCCAAATCGCAGAGAAGCTGGGAAATAATAAGTCACCCTTATTCTGCAATTGCTTCGATAATAACAACCAGCAATACAGCTGGTTGGTTACCAGCAGAGAGACGAGGTCAGATAATTAACCGATGAATTTATAGTTCAATGGGTCCTAATTGAAGAGGACGTTATTGGGGTTGCTAACTGTTCACACTTAGTTATCTTTCTTTAGATTATTATTTACTGGTTAGAGTCATTTTCAGGCAAATATTTGTTGATTTGTTATAAACATGATGTTCTGAAAGAGGGAAGTCGAGAGAAGAGAAATGGAGAAGTTGACAGTTTGATTAAGAGTTAGGAGTGCTGATGAAGGACCCAACCCAGGTGTTGTGTTGGCGTAAAATGACGTAGTTCTGTGGTTAGATGATCTTCAAGGGGTGCGTCCAATTCAAACGTCTACTGGAAATGTACTGAAGGGGATAACATCAACAACCTGCAATAAAACAAAAAAAAAAAAAAATTCTTTTAATACGCAAAATAGATTTAAGAATATTTCAGTTTTATTAATGAACAAACAAGAAGGGGACAAGAAGGTGTAAACTCCAATTTAAATAGCAGGTGTTATTTTGGTGCGATTTGTTAAAACTTTTTCATTAAGGCAAAAGAAAAGTAAATATTTAATCACAGAAGAATATGTGTATGTGAAAGCATGCACATTCCGCGCGCGCGCGCACACACACACACACACACACACATACATGAATATGCATAAACAAATATATATTTGTAAACTTATAAATTATATATATTATAAATTTATAGTTGGGCAGTAACCTTTCTTTTAAACATCTTTCATTAAATACGACAGACAATGAAGATTTAATTAAGATTTTATCTAGTTTTTTTTCTGCGTCCTTACGTTTATTTGTTTGGCGGGGGTAAGGGAGTACAATGATTTTCCATAATGTCGATTATCCCAAGCGCTTTAAGTCGCTTCTTTAGGCATTTTCAAGTATGTTTTTGTTTTTTGTGTTTCCGGTAATGTGATATAATATATATATAGGACTGCTAAGCCGGTTGATATTAATTTCACTGTTTAATTAAATAAAAAATACTGGGATAAACTCAAACACATGTACCCAATATAAATAAAGTTTATATATATATATATATATATATATATATATATATATATATATATATATATATATATACACTAGTATACCCGTGCCGTCGAAATTGACGGCAAGAAGGAATGTATTATAAGTAATATGTATTATATTGTAAGTAATTTTCATTATATCCAAGTACAATTGTTCCTGTGTAACAATTGCGGGGAATTGTGCAAAAATAATGATGCACTTCCCCGTCCAAATTAAAGTTACATTTGTTTTTGAAAAGAATAGAACTTTAGTTAAATAAAAATTATGAGAGACAGACATGAGTTACAGACAACATTAGTTGTGTTGAATATTTATTTTACGAATTTAAGTGTATTTTATTTCCTTTTCAGGGCCAATTTGGAAGACATGAATAAATATAATTTATGTTCGTATGTGTGAAATATTGTTATATGTTTCTTTTTTCTTTTCAAAAACAAATATAACTTGTTGGGTGGGCGTGTCAATGTTTGTGCGAAAGAGTCAGCACGTGTTAGAATTTAGTTCTTACTGTGAACTGTGTCGCCGTTGTTTGGAGCGGTCTCTTTGTAGTTTTCAGCGAGGTAGCTATTTGCGTGTGGACGTGAATAGAGTCTTGACTTCTGTGCATGTCTAAATTTTGCACACTGTTCCTCAACTGTTACACACACGCACACGCACACACACATACACATATATATATAAATATATATATATATATATATATATATAATTTCGCATTTATTCATATTTATTCACAAATCGTCTTTAAATTAAGTAGCAGCAGAAGAATTATCGTTGGACTTTTAAAAGGTAAGCTTAAACATTAATTCAATACTTAAATCCAGCAATCAGTTTTGAGTTCTTCTGTAGTTTATTGTTGCCTATCATATCTTCTCCTACCTAGTTATTGTGATGATGGCCAAACCAAGATTCCTCCACAGTAGCTAGCTTAAATGCTGCCCGATAAGGCAGCTTTTAAGCAAGCTGCAATTTTGGATACAAAAGGAAAATAAGAGTTACTCCATTTGAACCACGAAAGCAACGATAATGGCTAGTATAATATATTAATATATATTTTTAACCTCGCATAATCTAGCAACTCTGAATCTTAGCTCAACGAAAATCCTTTCCTGCGCTTAACTTTGAATGAAGAGTTGCTTAGATACACACACGCGCACAAGCACACATAGACTGTACTTTATATGGCATGTTATATTTAAGGATACTTCTGAAGAAATATTGAGTTACGGCGTTTTTGATAGTTGCCCATTGCGTACTGACACTTGCAGGTGCGGGGATATTGAATACATGTAAAACCTCTTAATGATATCACATAAATGTTCCATTGAACTAATGTAGGAAGTCTTTAAAATGCTCCTCAAATCAATTCTGGACAACTTGGGCAACCGATGTCAATGTAAATTGTCATACTGGGTTAACCCATTGTTGTTGGGGTTCATCTAGCCCAAGAATGAGTTCAACTGGTCATGAGTCAGTGTAACGTAATATTCACCGGTTGTTGATGTATTCAGGTGGACTTAACCCATAACATGTGTATTTGCAGAACATTACTACATGTTCTGTGTCCTCATAGCGTCTGTAACACAAATGAGCACTACAATCAGCCCGCATAAAACTGGAAAGGCAAATCATCGGACTACGCCACACGTTGACAGTCCAGAGACATTGTGAAGCGCTGTTGCGCTGACGTGGTGTTAAAAAATGCGCATAGTAGTTCTTTTTATACGTCGTGCATTGAATGTAGTTACGATTTGAACCAGGATCACGTGTAAATTCTAACTAGACGCATTTACTTATGATTATTGGCTGAGGATTGTTGACCACGGACTTGTACACAATAAACGATAATTCCAAATGTCCCCACAATTTCAGAAGTCGATAATTCACATCATCTTACCATGTGCTGCCTTGCTAATGTTCACACGGACTAACCAGATGTGAGATCGCAATTGATATAGGAGGACATGCTAAATCAATGTATGGTCACGCCACCTACCAATACCTTTATATGCTTCATTACCAAGACTTTTGCCACTCCAGTGCATATATATATATATATGTGTGTGTGTGTATATATATATATATATATGTGTGTGTGTGTGTGTGTGTGTGTGTGTGTGTGTATATATACAATCACTTTCATAATCTGTCTTGAAACTCTAGGAAACATAATATAATATATTTACTTAACCAACGCCACCTAATTTCCCAGAAGACTTTGCATCGTGTGTAAATTTATATTATATAAAATTTCTTGAAACTCATGAAGATGTTGACATAAATATTTTTGTGACTGAATATTTAATTAAATCGTTACGAATAGCAGATTTCAGAAGAAATTGCAAAAAAAGTAAAACACCTGCATTAAATTACCCATTTCATAGTGTTGCTCTCAAAATTTAAAGACTAATTTTATTTTTAAAAGACCGAAACTTTATACCTCACCATAAACATTATCGTCGTGGATGTTGTTACTACCATTTACTATATAACCATTTTAATTTATTTTTCGTATAAAACTAAGATTTATAAAGTGTAAAGAATTAAACAGCAGCCAATTCAAAGCTTTGACACAAACATGTAACATGTTTTACCTAAAAAGCTAACGACTGAATTTCCGACTAAATTTTTCATTTTCCTTATATAATGATGAATTGTTGGTCATTTATGAAAATAATTATCTGAATTATGGTGAAT